TTATCACATGTATACTGTAGTGCGCCCTCTGAGTTGTACGCAAAAGGTTCTTAAGAGGCTGAATTTATATCTGCAGGGGGAGGATCGTGAAAAAACGATTAAAAAAAGGTACATACGGTCCTTAGTTCTATAATCAAATTTTCGAGGAAAATTGGGCGCGATACCTCTGTTCAAAAGAATTACGCTAATGAGCAATTGTTTTCTCTTAACGTTAGGTGAAAACACGGTTATGTCTGTCTCAACGTACTAAAGACTGTAACCTTCACGGATATGGTTGTATAGTAATGCAATTGATTGTGAGTGCTCGTGCAAATTCTGTTATTGAAAGTCTTTTGTTGAAAAAGGATTGTCCAAAAGTGTAAATGATTGTCGTTTCGTGAAAACGAATTTTGTTTCGACAAAAATGAAAATANAATGAGAGTATATTGACCATAATGAAACAAATTTGGACTCAAATGAATGGATATTTTCTGTAAATGAACAGCAAAAGGTGTAAAGGCAAAGATAAACTGTATTCCAATTGTGATGGTCTCTGCTTTGTTTCAGTTTTTTCTTTTAGACTTAGTAATCACCTTTTCCACAAGATCATGGCAAATATTTCAATAGTTTACGGGCATTCTTTGATGTTCAGGCCTGTTATACTGCAATGATTTGCAAGTAAGCCGTACGTATGTAAGTAAGTAAGTAAGTAAGGTTTGACAGGTTAATTTAATAGTACAAAGCCTTTTAATTACTTTATTATTAGGAGAGCAAATTGATTAATTTAGTTTTATTTTGTTATTTCGCTTTGCTGTCAAACATATAAATTATGTAATGAAGAAATGATTAGTTTTGAATTGCAATAACACTGTCGTGTCTGCATACGAGCCAAGTGGTCCATCAGGCCGGAGCTTATCCCGGATTCTGTAGCATGAAGCGACTGGGAGTATTTCTACCACCCTACCCACCCCCCCCCCCACCGATGGGATGCTAGTCCATCGCATGGCTACACCCAGCATTAAATTCGCCGGTACCTTTTTATACACCTGGGTGGAGAGAGGCACTGTGAGAGTAAAGTGTCTTGCCAAAGAACACAACGCAATGTCCCCGGCCAGGACGGGCTCCAACCGGTACCGCTCGATCCGGAGGCGAGCGCACTAACCATGCAGCCATTGCACCTCCCACAGGTGCAACCTGTAACAAGCTTTAAATCCACTTGTGATGTTTGAAAGAATTAATGTTTCAAATTTCGTTTAATGTCATCCAAAATAATTTTCAGAAGCGTCTGTTCAATATTACGTAATCCATATCGCGTCATAGTTTTATTTTGCTCCAGGAGCCATAATCTGGGATGGATACCGTAAGTCTTCGGATCCGCGCGCACCTATGATATGGGACAATTTTGCTATTTTTAGAACAAAATGCGCCACCCTGACGACATGTAGCCGCGCGGACTCACGCACATGTCGTGGGTTCTAATAATAATAATGATGATGATGATGGTATTTTAAATTACCGTACATCGGTCCTTTTTCTATCACAACGCAACTCAGAATCAAGAAAGTAGTTAGCACTTTTTGTACTGACCTAGACATTAAGTTAGTGTTCACCCCGTTTAAAATCAGGAGTTGGTTTGGGGTCAAGGATCCTATCCCAGCGGATATACGATCGCGAGTCATTTATAAGTTTTCATGTGCAGGCTGTAGTGCCTGTTATGTTGGTTAAACCAACAGGCACTTCGCCACTCGCATCCGCGAACATCACTCCTCGGACAAACATTCCCACATCCTTAAGCACCTGAGAAGTTCTGAAAATTGTTGCTCCCTTTATTCAGAAGATTACCGTTTTAAAATTCTCGACTCTGCTTCCACAAGCTTCCAATTGAAAATCAAGAAAGCCATGCACATCCTTTAGTTCCTTTGGGAACAGCCGTCTTTAACTTCCCAGGTCAAACATCTTAATTTATCCTTTTCATAATAATTAGTCTCCTTTCTTAGCTTAAATAGTTTTACCCTTTCTTTTTGGTTCGCGCCCTCATCCTTAATTATTCTTGTTAATATCTCACTTTGTCAGCTGTTTATTGCATATTTTCATTTTATTTCTCACTGTACAACTGACGATGGATGATGTCTCATCCGAAACATGTATTTTCTTCATTAAATAGTGAACTTCAAAAACATCGTGTGGTTCATCAAAGCAATAATAAACAATCACCATAGAAACAATGTACAGACTCCTAAATTAAGCTTTCTTCAAAATGGAGAATTTTTTTCCCTTGAATAATGACGATATTTCAAAAGACAGTAGTGATTTTGTTTATGCTATGGCACAAATGTCAGTCTTTTAATGCAAATTTTCCCTTTCTTTAATAACTTGGCTATTTTTTTCTTAGAAATTATAATTTCTATGATCCATTGGTAAAAAGACTTCTTGTCGCCCAATTCGGTCTGTAATCATACTTGTGATAAACAAATCGGACGACCGCGCAGCGGGAGTCCGATTTTGTTATCCCTCGTATGATTACAGACCTAATTGGGCATAATAAAAGTTAAAGAGAAAAAAAAAAATCAATAAAACAAAAATCATAGCTTGGTGCGGTTGGGTACCAACCGCACCATTGTGATCCAATTAAGTTATCTTAATTAATTAAAAGCCTCTTTGAAGAGCAAAGTCTTAATCTCATTCTTAAAAACTATGAGCAATGAAATAGATCCTAGATTGGTTGGGAGTGAGTTCCAAAGTTTGGGAGCGGCAACGTTGAAAGCTTTATCGCCGTAAGTCTCCAGATTAGACTTTGATACCACCAGCAGATGTTTTGAGGAAGATCTTAGATTTCTGTTGGGTTGATAGGGTTGAAGAAGAAGAGGAAAACTCTCTACTCTGGAAAACTCCGAAGAAAACTCTCTACTCTGGTACTCTACTCTGGGTTCTCGCGTGGATGTTGTCATGTTGCGTGATCAAATGGTGAGAGATTCTCTCGCGGATTTTTCACAGCGCTGGCAGGGAATAATATAAGGCAGGTAATAAGAACCAGGGCGTTTATATGTGTTTTTATGCTTTGAGCTAATGGAAAAGGTAAGCTTTTCAGGGTCGAAAACAAGACCGTGACTTCGATTTCGCACTGTGAATGAATAATATCTGCTCGCGATAGTTGTACGCGTAAGTTTTTGCCTTTGTTCTGTAAAGAAAAGTTATCTAAAAAAACACTCTCTACTCTGGTATCGAGTTAATTTGTGAGTTTCTCAGACAATGATTAATCATAACCAAACCCTGTTTTTGATAGTTTGTTATTGTTTCTGCTTGTTTGGCGAGTTTGCAAAAATTTTTGAAAGGAAAGTCTGACGCGTCCGAGTCGGTGTTTTCAATTGTCATCAAATCTTGACAAAGATTTCTTTCATTATCTTTTGTGCTGAGATGCTGGAATAAATTTCACCAACGCCAAAAGGTTACTAAAATCATCTGTGTTTCTTCAACATAGTGAAATTTTACACTGCAAAAATAAAATAGACAACTAGTTTTGATAAGTCAACCAACAAAATCGAAATCGTTATTCGAGTTGATTAAAGAAAGCGTC